GAAAACTAGAAAAAGTGACCCAAGAGAGAGGAAAACCAGCTTTTTAGCAAGGTTCAAAAGGGCCAAGAAGAATTACTGGTCAGCCTACCCATATTGGTGGCCTCCTAGATGAGCACAACACAATGGTGGTATGAAAAGCCAGAAATTGTGGCTCAAAAGTGAGAAAAAACAGCTTTTTGTCAGGAAAACTTGCTTTTGGAGAGAGAAAAAAAAAACTGGTTTCCAAGGAGAAAAGGTGGCCTCCCACCATACTACCACCTCCCTAGCAATGAAAATAGGGTCCCTACCAAAAATGGACCAAGACGGATGCAAAACGAAGGTTCGGGGGTTAAAACGCGCAGTCTAGGGCCCCGAAAACAGGCTGTTAGGCATCAGAAGTGGCGTATGACCACGAAGGTGGTCTCCCGGGCCATAGTTCCCTCTAAAGGGAGGAAATAAGGGATGTGCCAAAAACCGGAGCAAACGGAAGTAGTTAAGCGGTCCCGAACCGAGGCACATGGCCGACGGCTCCGAAAACCGGAAACTGGGCTCCAAACGGGAAAAATGGCCTACGACCACGAAGCGTAGCCTACGGCCACTGAGAGATGGTCTACGAGACCTCTCCCTCCCATTGGGAAGAGAAAACAGAGAAAACAGGACTCAATTCGCAAATCGAGGCAAAGCACAAAAGAGCCCTAAAGTTCGAAGGCAAGGCTCCTAGCCGAGACTCCGCAACCTCAAAATGAGCGCAATATGCAACATCACCGAGCGCTCAATTGGTGACGTCTAAGTCTTAAGGTCAGTCAAAAATGAGGTGTCTACAAAGAGAGAACCAATATTATGAATGAGATCTAAAGTAGAATGAGATCAATATATGTAGAGAGAGAGAGAGAGAGAGAGAGAGAGAGAGTACATCTTGGAGCTTGTTGGGAGCACCGCCAGTGATCTTGGCGACACGAAAAAGGGAGAGCTCAGCTTTGAGATCCTTCAATTGGCTCAGCAACTCCACCTTCAATTTCTGTCTCAACTATCAACTGGAATGGATGCTTGTGAGTTTCAAACCATACATACTATATTACACCTTTGAAGTGTTATGTTTTTACTGTTTCTTTGTTCCATGCTATCCTTTTTTTTTTTATTTCTTATTGTCTTTTGTTTGTATAATTGTATTTGTGGTGCATCTTTGTGTCTTAACAAGCACAAACAAGATACTAAAAACCAATCTTTGATGACAACTGAGACTTGTGTCTAAGACCACGACCCTAAGCCATGGCTAGAACCACATTAAATTTGACCCAACAAAGTAATAAAATAAAATAGCTTTATCTGGTACAACTTTAGACCTAATAGAAGAAACAACTGGTACCTCTCAATTTCGGGCTTAGAATCATCTTCATTATCCTCGCCCTTGTCCTCGACCTCGTCATCTAGGTCAGGCGATATGTCAAAAGTAGAATTCAACTCTGCATCAAGAAACGCAGCAAAGTCCTCGCTGCTTGACGAATGTATCGGAGAATCATTCACAAGACTCATCTGAAATGCCATCCAAGCAATAAATTAGCAATCCATTTGACCAGAGAATCATTCACAAGACTCATCTGAAATGCCATCCAAGCAATAAATTAACAAATCCATTTGACGGATTTTAGCAACAAAGCACTTTTTCAATTATGTATTTCTAAATTCATGGAGATTATTGTGATGTTAAAATATAATTCAAATTCATGGAGATTATTGTGAATTTAGTAACATCACCAAATTTCAAAAAAATTAACAAATTCATTTGACAGATTTTAGCAACAAAGCCAATCTTAAATCTTGAAGATATCCATAATCTCGTTTTTAGCAGAAACTGCACAATAATATAAATCGGTACCTTCCTATTTTCCACTTTTTGACGCTTTATAACCTCCAAAGGTCACTCACGGACCAGCTTTTGAAGTTCAACCATGATACCAGGCTTCCAAGCTTCATCAAACTAAATTGAAATTGAAAACTGCAGAGAGAGTTTGAAAACAAAATTAAACAGAGTAATATAGAAATCAACTACGACTAATGGAGCAAATAACAAACAACAATACAAAAATAAACACAATGTACCAGAAATACAAATCAGACTATCAATCACAAAGTGCCTTTAACAAAAAATATAGCAAATTAGAATGTTTGAATAAATTTAGAAAACAAAGTTACATGAGAGAATGGTTTTGGCTACCAAAGTCTGATTTGTTTGATTTGTTCAAAATGCATTGCACCATGTACCAATTAGTTCAGTTTTAGGAGAATTTGATCAAGTGGTCGAAAATCTAAAATAACTAACAAATAAATGTAGATGCTTTTTGCTAGCATGACTAATTCAAAAGTCCAAATCTTAGATTTAACATAGCAAACAAATTTGATCAAATTTTCAGTAGGTATTAATTCAACTAATTAGTTAAACATTTCAAATACTTAAAAACTTCACATAATCGAAACTGAAAATCAATGTACCTTCTTCGTGTGCATCATCAAGCCATTTCAAGTGTAGATCCCAGCATTCTGACGCTTCTTCACATATCCAACATTGATTCCATGAGCAATCACTACAAAATCACATGAATACAAACAAAACGAAATTATAAACTAAACTTCGATTAACTTAAAACACAGCACATGATGATCCAATTTCTATACATGCAAAACAACATAAATCCATCACTGATCATGACTATTGAACTTACGGTAAAGATATATAAACAAAAATTAAAAGGTGAATTATACTAATAGTCCTTATAGTTTAGGGATTGTATCACTTTGATTCTTGATTTTTCAATTGTGACACATTTGACCATGAATTTTGAATCTTGTTCCAAATAAGGACAATTGAAGATATCATTAGATTTTGGACAAATTACACAAATAGTTCCTATAGTTTGAGGCTTGTGTCACTTTGGTCCCTGACTTTTCAATTGTGACACATTTGACCCTGAATTTTGAATGTTGTTCCAAATAAGGACAATTGAATATATAATTAGATTTTTCAAGAGTAAAATTGTCAATTTGATAAAATATAAACTAATTTGACAAAAATAAATGTCAAACAAATATTTTTGAATTTTAAAAAACTATTTCTACCTACTAAAAATAAAATTATGTAAAATTGATAAATCTTTTAGACATTTATTTATTTTTTTTACCAAATTAATTTTTATTATGTATTTGGATGATGATCATGTAAAATTAATTTTAAAAAATTAGTCATGTAATTTTTGTTAATTTTACATAATTTTATCATTGGTGGATAAAAATAATTTAAAAAAAATTAAAAATATTTTTTTGACATTTATTTTTGTCAAATTAGTTTATATTTTATCAAATTGACGATTTTACCCTTGAAAAATCTAATGATGTTTTCAATTTTCCTTATTTGAAACAAAATTCAAATTCAGGATCAAATGTGTCACAATTGAAAAATCAGGGACCAAAATGACACAAGTCTCAAACTATAGGGACTATTAGTGTAATTAACCCTTAGATTTTTTAAGGGTAAAATCATTAATTTGATAAAATATAAACTAATTTGACAAAAATAAATGTCAAACAAATATTTTTGAACTTTTAAAAATTATTTCTACCCACTAAAAATAAAATTATGTAAAATTGATAAATCTTTTAGACATTTAATTTTTTTTACCAAATAAATTTTTATTATGTGTTTGGATGATGATCATGTAAAATTATTTTTAAAAAATTAATCATGTAATTTTTATTAATTTTTATCAATTTTACATAATTTTATCATTGGTGGATAAAATTAATTTTTAAAAAATTAAAAATATTTTTTTGATATTTATTTTTATCAAATTAGTTTATATTTTATTAAATTGACGATTTTACCCTTAAAATTAAACAATGGTATCTTCAACTATCTTTATTTGGAACAAGATTCAAAATTCAGGGTCAAATGTGCCACAATTGAAAAGTCAAGGACTAAAGTGACACGAGTCTCAAATTATAGGGATTATTTGTGTAATTTGGCCAAAATTAAAAGTAGATCAGAAAGATATGCTAATCTTAGTATAAATCAAAGTTACTCAGCAATGAATGAATACGAGCGCGCGCATACACACATATATAAAAATATAGCAAAAGTATTGATTCTAATCAAAGCTTCGTAGCTAAGAGAGAGTTAGATTGACAAAGACAGAGAGAGATGGAGAGAGTTCACACCATTGGAGATCTCTTTTTCAAATGACCATGGCTAATGAGAGAGAAAATAGAGCGAAATTGTGAGAGAGAGAGAGATTTGTTTGGGAAATAAGAGTGAAACCCAGGACAAGTTTTATGAGTTTTTTTATATTTATATTTATATTTTTAATGTTAAGAACATAATTGAGGGGTTAAGTAAAACGGGATTTTGGTATAGAAAGAATATTTTTGCAACAGTTAAATAATCGGTCACAAAAACAATAATATAAAAAGCCATATTTCTAGTAGTGTTAGGTGAAGTTGTTAGTCCAGCACCTTAACTGTTAAAAAAATACCCACATGTCTATGTACCAGGTCCCTTGGCACCGAGTGGACATTGTATCACTAGTGCCAGCCAACCACCTTAGGCTAATTTTTTACCTCAAAATCTAGTGAATGGCTTCAGGAAATCAAAACCAATGGATTGAATTGAAGGATGCTTAAGAAGTTGGGTTCATGGCCAATAAAAGAATTGTGTATCCAAAAAACGAAAAGCCTCAAGGGCCAAACACACTCTGATGCTTGTCAGAATCTTTATGCAACAAATTAAGAAAATAATAATAAAAATTATGCGATGAAATAAATCATAATTCTATCCTATAATTTGTCTTATTTTCAGTTTCATATTCTGTTATAGTGTCACGACATCAAAATAAAATTATATATATATATATATGTATATGAAATTGAGAATGGAACAAATTATCCCATGCAGGCCACATGAGAGTTCCCATAACAATTGTCGCAATACAAAAAAATAAAATAAAAATAATAATAATTATGTCCTTGTTGAATATGAATGTTTAATTACAGTTTCTTACAAACATGTCAAAAAAAGAAAGAAGAAAAAAGACAAAAAAGAAAGAGTTTATGGGTCAGCAGAATCAACACCCACACCACTAGTTGAACCAATCCCAACCTGCAACCAGGGAGAAGAATTACCACTCATGTTCATATCCTTCAACTCACTCAGCTTTGCTAACTTCACCTTACTATCTGCTTCATCGTCATCCACATTTTCCATTCTACTATTCTTCTTCTTATTATTTTCAATCTTCTTATTGTTATCATCATCATCACCATTGTTATGATCATTATTATAGTTTTTTCCTTCTTCATCAACATCAACCCATGACTGTAAATTTATTTCAGTAGACACTTCAAAGCTCAATGGGTTTCTAGGATCCCTCCTTATTCCGGCGAGATCGTCGGTTGCCAGGGCCGGAAGATTGAGATCCAGTGTGTCAGATTTGCTAAACTTAGGTCCTTGTTGTATCTGATTGTGTTGATCAAACCTAACAAGCGAAGAGGTCTCTGGAGAATTCGAAGTGAGCCAATGACACCTCTTGTGCCCTCCCAAAGCTTGTCCTGATGAGAAAACTCTATGACATATTGAGCATTCATGAACTTTTGATTTCCTCTTGGAAATTTCTCCGGGGACCGGAGAGCCCGGGCTGTGGTGGTGGATCCCAAAACTTGATGTGGGTTTTGATGGGAGGAGCAAAAACTCTTCATGTGTGCTCACATCTTCATCTCCAGCGAGTTCATCGAGCCGGGCAGCAAAGCAGCCTTTAACCTTCTTGTGACTAGCCCTATGTCCTCCCAATGCTTGGTGGGAATTGAATACTTTCTTGCAAGCTTTGCATTCAAACATTCCTTTTGCAACCCCTTTGGCCTTTTCTAGAGGTGCCTGGGTTGTGAGAGGACCGATGAATGTCGCCGTGTGGTGGTGGTGGTGGTGGTGCCGCCGCTCCTCCTCCTTGATCGCGGAGGAGCAAGACTCCTCCGCCTGATCCGCCACCGGATCAACCCTAGCGTTGGATAACATCACAAGACAAGTTGCAGCCATATCTTCTTCCTCACTAGAATGACATGTAGAATTGAAATTGCCCACTTTAGCCCTAAATGACCTTTTCCTTTTAGACCACCTACACCCCCTCCGCTCCTCACCATCCGATCGTGGCGGCGATAACATGAGTGACTCGTCGGCATCCTCAGCATCCTCGGAGTTACATTTTCTATGCTCAAGGAAAGATTTCCAAGAAAAGAATTCCTTACCACAATTCTCACAGACCCTACAACTCTTCAGCCGGTTAGGGTTTGTCCTCAACGCGTACATTCGCTTGTTCGCCGGCACATTCCCTCTCTCCTCCCAGTCACTTTCCGGGTCATCGTCATCATCAACGTTACCGCTCTCGTCTCCGATGCCATGAGCTCTCATATGCCCTCCTAGAGCTCTCCCACACATAAATCCCTTCTTGCAAACCCTGCAAAAGTGCTTAAAGTTGGTTTGTTGATCTTGATCTACCATTAATGCTATATAATAAAAAATAAACAAGCCTTATTAACTCGAAATTCAGAAGTACATCGAGATAATAAGAATCAATGAGAGAAAAATAGACAAAAGTACTCAGTGCATCGAGAAAATAAGAGAGAGAGAGAGAGAGAGGGAGACAGAGAGATGAGAGAGAATAGAAAAGGGGTGGAGTTAAATTTATGATGGGGAGTTGAAGTTGTAGGGTTGTTGAATGGTGTGAAAAGGGTTAGTCCTAGTTTTTAGTTAAGAGTAATGGTTTGTAGTGCATGAGAGAAAAATAGGAGTGTGACTGAGTGAGGAGTGTTTTTCGGACGTCCGTAGAGTGGGAGTACAAAGACAGAGTGGTTTTCAAACAAACCTATTCATATCCTTTCAATTCAAAGCCAAAACAAACTTATACATACATATTTATATATATAATTAGAATTTATCTTTTAGTTTGCCCTACTCTTTTGCTTTTGTTCAATATTTGTAAACAACCTAAGCCTAAAAATGGGAGGGTACAACTCATTTGTTATAAGCTGTTTACATACAAAGTTGATTCTGACTTATATTCCAAAAGTATATGTAGCTGGTACTGCTTAATTTCTTATAATTTTTTTTATTATTTTTTATGAGTAAATTGCGTTTGACAATTTTCTCATTTGTCCTTTAAAATTTATTTATTTTTCACTTTGAACTTTTATATTTTAAGTTTTTCCTAGCTTCCTACTAAAACTAATTTATGTTTAAAATTAGATAGAAAATATTATAATTACTGTCACATAACATAAAAAATATATTATTATATTGAGATTTAAGTTTATACTAGAGATGTGAGTTATATATAATAAAATATTTTTATATTACGTGACTGTCAATGTGTCATTTTCTGTCTAATTTTTTACAAAATTTAGTTTTAGGAGTAAATTGAAAAAAAATTTGAAACATGAAGGGTCAAAGTAGAAAAAAACAACCCTTAAGAGCTAAAGTGAAAAAGTGACTACACATAAAAAGAGTAATTTACACATTTTTTATTTTGAAATTCTGTGCCAACTTGCTTGGTGTAACTTTCGCTCATAACTTATTAGATAGAAATAATTTAAATATATTGAAGAAAGTTAAATTTTAAAAGTTGAGTAAGGAGGAACCATTTGAGAGGATTTTGTGGATAACATTAATATTAAAGTTGCTACGGCCTATTTTGAGGAGTATGTTAAAAATTAATTTTTTTCGCTTTTTTAAAAAGACATACAAAAAATTAAAGAAGTGATGTGATCCAAAAAAATTAAAAAAATTAATAGAATATATTATTTTGCCCCCTAAACTTTCACGTGTTTTTCAATTTGACCCACAGACTTCAATTAATATCAATTTGACACTCAAACTTTCAAAATTTTGATCAATTTGGCTCATGCCGTCACATTTTGTCTACAATTCGACGGATTGTGCTGACGTGACACCAAATTTCAATTGGAATTTCATTTTACCTCCCAAACTATATTTGAAAAATCAATTTGCTCCCCAAATAAGGAAAAATAAAATTTAAATATTTAATAAATAATTTCTATCTCAATAATGAAAAAATTAAATCAATTTGCTCCCCAAATAAGGAAAAATAAAATTTAAATATTTAATAAATAATTTCTATCTCAATAATGAAAAAATTAAATAAATTAAATTTTAAATAATATATACATTGCAAAATAAAAAAATATAAAATTTCTTATTTAGAATAATTATCTTCAGACTATGAAACATGTATGTACTTTAACAAACATATCGTACCCGTACCGAGTACTTACCGAATTTAAAAAAAATTTTCCCACTCAATTTTAGAATTATTATTAGTCGATAAATTCTATTGAAATTAATTTGGATAATAAATGAGTTAGGATAAGTTTCTCCAAGATCAACTCAAGATAATGTGAGACCTATGAAGCACAGGTACATGTATGAGTATTAGTATTGGTACGATATGAGAATGTCGACGTGGTAAAATACAAAAAAAGTAGTCAGGTTTGTTTGGGATAAGCTACAAAGGTTAAAAAGTTACTAAAAAAGTTAAAAAATCCAGGCTCTGTTTTCTCAGTTTTCTCTTCTCGAAGGGAGGGAGAGGTCTCGTAGATCATCTCTCAGCGGCCGCAGGCTACATTTCGTAGTCGTAGGCCATTTTGCCTGTTTGGAGTCCGGTTTTCGATTTTTCGGAGCCGTTAGCCGTGTGCCTCAGTTCGGGACCGCTCAACCACCTCCGTTTGCTCCAGTTTTTGGCAGATATCTTATTTGCTCCCTTTTGAGGGACACTGTGGCTCGAGAAACCAACTTCGTGGTCGAGCTTTCTCTGTTTTCTCTTCCCGAAGGGAGGGAGAGGTCTCGTAGATCATCTCTCAGCGGCCGCAGGCTACATTTCGTAGTCGTAGGCCATTTTGCCTGTTTGGAGTCCGGTTTTCGATTTTTTGGAGCCGTTGGCCGTGTGCCTCGGTTCGGGACTGCTTAACCACCTCCGTTTGTTCCAGTTTTTGGCATATATCTTATTTGCTCCCTTTTGAGGGACACTGTGGCTCGAGAAACCAACTTCGTTGTCGAGCACCACTTCCGGTGCCTAACAGTCAGCTTTCGGGGCCTCGGGCTACGCGTTTCGGCCCCCGAACATTCATTCTGCATCGGTTTGGGTTCATTTTTGGCAGGGACCTCTGTTTCATTGGTAAGAAGGCCATAGAAGGGTGGGAGGCCAGCAATTGTTCAGACAACCAATTTTATTCCTCTATCGCCCTCCGTCGCCCGTTTTTCCTCACTTCAAAGCCAATGTTGACCACCCTTGGGCCTTTTCCTTGCACCATAAACCCCATATTTGTGATGTACACATCTGGGAGGCCACCAATATTTGGTGGCCGGCCAGTAATTGTTTTTGAATCTTTTCAACCCCTTTGAAAATTGGGTTGTTCTCTCTCCTGGTTCATTGTCTCCAGTTTTTAACCACTTGGTTGTGTTGGGCACACATCAGAGGCTCTCTTTTTGGGGTGGCCGGCCACTAATGCCTTGACCCTTTTGACCCCTAGCCGACCGGCCATGGGAGGTAGCCGGCCGACCACCTAAACCCTAGATAACTGGCCGGCCAGAATCCTTGCATCAAGTACAGTGCAGATACACCCTCATTTTCCCCCCAGATTCTGTATCCGGGGGGGGGGGCAACTTTTGGAGGGAAACTTGGCTTCATTTCCCTCCATTTTCCCCCCCTTTTTCCCCTCTCCTTTGCCTATATAACAGGCCCTCCAGCAGCATGTTTTAGGGTTACAAAAATTTCCCCCAAGCCTCTTGCCTTGTATCTCTCTCTCTCTATATTTCCAAGCTCCAAACCCTCAAGCCCTACACCATTTCCACACCACCACCTAGCACCACATCACCATCATCCATTCCAGCAGCTTTAGGGCTATTTTCAGAGCTAAGGAGCCGCCAAACTCAAGCCAAGGAGCTGTCAAAGATTGGTCTTCAAGAGTGAGTCCCTATTCTCATTTTTTGTGCTTTATTTTGTTCAATGCATTAGCCATACTTTCTTGCTGTTTTGGGCTCCGACCCTAACTGGAACTAGGTTTATTTTGAGCTATTTTTCATGTTTGATTAAGGGCCTCTCACTGTTTGAGGCATCCTTTTTATACTTTGTGTTATAGCTCTCTTTTTGGCCTTATTTTGCATAGCATTTTGAGCATGCTTGTACACTGTTTTGGGTCTGATCATAAACTGTAAAATGCCATGTTTTGGGTCCGTCTTCAACATTGTTGAAGGGCCGTCACTTGTTTCGGGCCTGCAGCTGTGACTTACTTCTTTGTCTCACATTTAGGGCCATTTTTGCATATTGGTTTAGCCCTATTTGTGTTCATTGTTTGGTCTTGATTAAAACTGTAAACGTGCTTATTTTGGGACTGCCTTGAATCTGTCTTTATGCTTCATGATCAAATAATGCATGTTTTGCATAGCTATAGGCCTATGCATGTGCATAGTTTTGTGTCTCGGGTTCATTTCATGCATCGGGTGCCATGTTTCCATGATTCGGGACTATTTTGGGTCATATTTTAGCACTGAAATTTGCATGCTAGTATGCCATATTCCATGCTTTGGTAGAGTGGCATTCGTGCCTTAGGTTTGGTCCTCGGTTTGCGTGCATGTGTGCACGCATTCCGAGTTGTCTCATTTTCATTTTATGGCCTCTTATGTGAGTGTGGATGAGGTCCGCTCATGTTGGTGTAAGCCCATTTATGCATTGTGTATGCTATTTCATTTCATAGCATTGCGTATGTTAGGTTGTATGTTAGTGCATTGTGTATGCCATGTTACCTCGTGCATCGTGTATGCCATTTCATAGCATTGTGCATGCTAGGTTGTGTATTAGTTGCATTTATGCATGTCATGCATATTGCATTGTGCTTGGGATAGGAATTAGCCCAGGCACGGGAAACGAGGTACGTTTCGTACTCCGAGTGACGGAACGTGTCTCAATTCCCAGTCACCGACACGCCGGATTATCCATGATGGAGTTGGGTTTTAGTTGAGTTTTCACGTGCATTCATTCTATATTGAGTAATGCAAATCGACTCCTCGGCCATCATGCATCGATATGCGTGATTGGTGACACAAGGATCGAGGCATGCATACATTTGTGAAAATACATTGTTATGCCCCTCTCTTGCTCTCTGTTGCAGCAAATCAAGAATCAGCAGTCTTCCGGGGCTTGGCGCGCTTTCCAAAAAATATTGCAAAATAGAGACTAATTGGGGCATCACAGTGGATTTCCGTGCAAAGGCGACCTGGACATGCATCATCCATCATCTGAAGAAGAATCAAGGCAGTCCCTGGCTTGCATGCCAGTTTATTGTTTTCTTAGTTAATTGGGTAATTAATTAGGATTTTTTGTACATATTTGGACTGTATTATTTATTTGGACTGTACTATTTATTTGGGACTGTATATTATTCGGACCCTCTGCGCGAGGGCACAACTGTAATAAGTGTGCGTGTGTGTGATGCATGTCTTCCAACCCCACGTCTTTCTCCTTTTTATTTACCTACTTACGATGGTTAGATTAGGGCATATTTCAATTAGCATACAGTATGATAACATGTTTGCATTCATTCATTTGTTTTGCATGCACCGGGCTCGGCGCATCTTACTAACTGCATTATATTTTCAATTCTAAATTGAATACATGTTAGCTGTAGCATTTCATTTTCCATGTTTAGAATAGCCGAGCCTGCTATAGTTGCACTTTTGCATGTGTTGCATTAGGCATTTTTGTATAATTAGGGTCATGCATGGATTTCTAATTAGCTTTTATTTTGGCTTGGAGTACTCGGTGAGTTTTATGCTTTAGCATCCTTGCATGCGTGTGAGTGACTGCCATGAATAGCATGCTTACCATGAGGCTATGTGCTTATGTGATATAAACTGCCTGAATGCCTGTGGGTGAAGGTTGAGTTATCTGAATTGGAACAATTCTTCAAATGTGTGTTTTACGCCCACTAGATAGTGGCAAAACCATCTTTTCTAAGCCCACCCGAGGGTGACAAATCCACGTCTTGGCCTACTTGCGAGTAGCACCATCAAACCATTTTCAAACAAACAAACAAACATGAAATGTTTTGTTCCAATCTAGGCGATCCAGTCTATACTTGTATGCTGTGCGCATCACATAGTAAATCTAGGCTAATAACCGGAATAAGAACACACAATGTTTTCAAAACTTGATATCATGGTTAGTAGAGGCCGATCTTTGACCGAGCGAGCGGGGGTGCTCACGAAGTGACCTTCCCCAATCATACCCAAGTTCCCGAGCCGAGGCAATTTTGGTGATGACGGACACGTGGCCTTAGGGAAACAAGTCAGGGTTTCCTAAATTTCTCAAAATAAAATATTTAGGTGGCGACTCTGTTTTTGGCAAAGCAGTCCATGTTTGGCACTTCTTTCAAAATCTGTTTTCTCAAAACGATTTGCCGAATTTGGACTCTTTGGTTCAGACTTAGAACCGTGACAATTTGAGAGTCCTGAGCTG